TAAATGTGTTTTAAACTTGAATTTACTTACACAGAACAAAAGAAAGTTACTGTCATCATGGCATAACCCTGATCAAAAGAAAACAAGCCAAGAAGTATTTTCACATATATATAGTCATCAATGACATAAAAGAGGGTTGCTATCGAGTTAACCTAGACTCAAGCTTTAGAGCAACGACATTAACTAAGAGTATCCTAAGGCCTCCTAAATATTCCATTGTCTACATGTGACATGAAAATAGAAATAAAAGAAAATTAGTTAGTGATCTTTTCAAGATTGATTAGCTTTTAAATTTAATTTCAGTAGAAGATTGTTCATCTAAATCTTGATTAATTAACTGTAACAAATGTTATATACCAGGTTATGCGATTGATATTAATTAACATGTTGCGTAGATAGGTTTCTCAATAAATCGGGTTCTTTTTTAAAAAAACAATTGCTTGAAGCCGTCATAATCGCCATAGAAAAATTCTGTACTATCCTTGTTTATGTTGAATTTTTACAGGCTTAATGTAAAAGGAGAAAAAGAAAGAGACAAAAACTAGAATATGGAAGATGAACTAAGCTTCAAAGTCTGGGTCAATATATTTTGAGTCCTTCCCATTGCAAATGCTCTCCTTCGTATCAAACTAATATATAAAACGACGAAAAAGACACCGTAGAAATTATCGATGCAGAGGTCGATAGAATTCACGATGCATGCACACTTACAACAAAGTAACGACAAAAGCTTCCCAACATTTATTTATGTAATTAGCTATATATATATCCCACATATTTCTTCATTTTATTGATAAGCTTCAACACCATGTTAATTAATCTAGACTTAATATGAATTTTATGATTGAAAAAAAAATTTATAAAGATATATAGTGCAGATAATTTCTTCAATAGAAACTAATTTTTGACAAAATCTATAAATATTTTAGTAACAATAAGAGATAACGAAAACTATTAATATATAAGGAGTTTTTGCTACTAATTCTTCATAATATATGATTAATTGATCTGGTTGCTAAGGGACATAGACAAAGAAGCTATATAGATAAAACCAACATGAGAGACAACTGTGAAATATTCTTTCCTATGAGCATGTCTCATAGTTCTCTGACATTTTGTTTATGTTTTATCTAAGAATAGGTAACGCAAAAAAAGTAATATAGTTGACATGGACATGCATTGATTAGGTGATTAAGTATTAAAAAAATTTAATATTTTAACATTTAGTCGTTCATCAAGCAGCGTGGAGTTTTGTGAGTTGGGAAATTGATGTGAATGATTTTCTATTTAATCTTAACATTGATATTAAACTAGTAGGTGACTATGATCTTGTGCCGCGACAAGGCCAGTTCATGAATCGAAGGTTTCTAGGGTAGAATAACATGACACAATATCGAATAATGCTTGTGTGTGTGCCTGATATTTGTAAATACAACATAAGATATACTGAAAGAACAATAAAGTCGATCTATTGAAGATATTGTAATATTTAATTTGAGTAAATTCATTTTTTTAAGGAGAGACGTTAACATTATACTTCCATTTAAATGTATTGTATAAATAATTTAAATTATACTATTAAATATAATATATTTATTGAATTTAATAAATGTAATGCTGTATATTTGTATTAAATTTACAAAATTATAAATGAAAAATTATTTATGTAAAGTCTATTAAATGAGAACTATTTTCATGTTTCCATACTTAATGGGTGTGAAGTCTCATACTTTAAGACAAAAATAAAAGAAGTTGAGTAAAGGTCGTTCTTGTAGTTTAATTTCCAGGTTCATGTGTTTCATTAATTTGAGTAGAATTCGGGCACTCAGTTTCTTTTTTCATGCGAAAAAAATCATTATTTTAATAAATTTTATCACTTGTGTCCGGTTTTAAATAGATTATTTTCATAGTGTCAATGAGTCTTATGAGAAGATACATTCAAATTTATTAGTGAGAGAACATCTTTACCTGATTTCCTTATATTTATATAAAAGATTGTTATTATTGTCGACATTAGGTTACGAAATATTTTTTTATAATATATTATTGAACTTTTTTATTCTTACTTAATATTTAATTTAGATTTATAATTAGATTTTCTAATAATTTTTCCTTTAAATGTGAGTCTCTTCACATTAATATATCCTCTTGAGTTCACTAGTGATCGAGACACGCTTACTCGATCTATTATCTCTAAGCTTTTATTTTGATATTATTGTTAAATCTTTTGAGGGGAAGAGACAACATCAATAAGATGTAAGTTCAACCCACATAAAAGATTAAACACTCTCAACCCAAAATCTTAAGACATTAGTTGTGGGTCTTACTTCCTTATATTATGTTTATCAATTTTTTCATTATTAATTAATAGGAGACTTATATTCATAATTACGTTTAAAAAAAATGTATGATATTACCTAAAAAGATATTTTTTATATAATACAATAATGACTTTAATCAAGAATATGTATTAATATATTATATAAAAAATCAATGTTTAAACCTTAAACTATTTCACTAAGAGATACATACCATTATGACTTCAGGCCATAGCTGTGGGTTGATTCTTGGTTTAAGCTTCAAAGAATATTTTGGAGAAATTTATGGGAAGACAAAAAAAAATTAAAACTTAGTTGTATTAAGGACTTTTTCTTTATCATTCAAATTCAGTTTTTTTTTTTTATGAACTTCAATCTTATTATTTGAATAGTGCAATTTTAGTTATTAATTAACTATTGATATTAAACATTTAGCGTAAATGTTGATGTGAAAACTTTTTATATTCAAAATTTACTATAAAATGATACCATAGTGTATGTATTGTCTCATTATTAGACTTATGCAGAAACCTCGGGCTCTGACCATGCCAATGATTTGGGCCCATCAGACAACAATGTCCTGTTAGCAGCCATTTTGGGCTTCAAAATATTATTTCAGCAAAGCAATGTAGGTTTAAATCTGGTCATTACACAGTGAGGAGGACACTAATAAAGATTATGAGAAAACTTGTAAGATTCACATATGCTATAGTTTCAAACAAGTTTGAATGGCAACACTGTAAAAAAAATACTCCTTTCATTCTTCTTTGAATAAATTTTTATTTATTTATTATCATTTTCAAAATTCAAGAAACTATTAATTATCATTTTCAAGTAATGTTTATATTATATTATATATATATATATATAATATGAAGAAATAAAAAAGTTTGGTAAATATTTTTTTATTAGAATAAAAAATATTGTATTTTTTCTCGGTAAAAATAAAACCTTGAAAGGCAGAAAAAAAAAAAATAGTTATCGAATTTTCATTACTTATTAGCCATGGTAATCGGTGGGACCGTGGCGGGTTTCGGCCTCTCCAACTTTTTAAACGGCCCCTTAAGAAATTAAGTATTTAGTTATGTTCTCGTTTTATACTATTTCTAAAAACATAATTATATAATAAATTAATTTTAATATTTTTAATTGATTTTTTATACATAAATAAATAATTATAATTTAATAGTTTTTAATTATTAATTAAATATATATTTTAATGTATTAAAATATACGTAAAAGAAATATTTAATTATTTTTTAATATAAAATATTTATAATAATAATAATAATATTATTATTATTATTATAAAATTGTATTTAAATATTTAATTATATATATAAATTAGTTATTTTTTAAGTTGTCATTTAAAAAAATTAATAAATATAAAATATATAATTTATAAAAAAATATTTAATAAGTTAATTTTTATTTAATTAGATCAAAATAATAAAAGTTTTAATTATTAATTATTTTTAATTCTTCAAAATATAATTATTTTATTAAAAAAATTAATATATTAAAATAAGAATAATAAAATTTAAAAAATATGATATAATTAAATATAATAAAGTTAAATTATAAATAAAATAATATAAATTACTAATATATTGAACATTTAGAAAAAAAAACTTTATATTTGTTAATTGAAGAGATTGAAAAGATAAAATAGTAAAAAATGGATAAAAAAAATAAAAAAAGTTTATATATAGTGTGAGAAAAAAATATTTTTAAAAGATTAATATTATAAAATTTAAATTTAAATATAAAATTGAAACAGAACGATACACTAGCGAAGATTACATTACTCAATTCTTTCTCCAACTTCTTAAAATAAAAAAAAATCTTAAATTTGAACTTAATTTTTTTCTCGTCAAACTTATAACTTTAAGTTTAATTGTTTAATTGTCATTTTTACTCCACGTTAATAAGTTTTATTAATGGATCTTCCTCACTGGGAAGATAATCTTTTATTAATAAGTGAGAACATAATAAAATAGTAAGAAAATATGTTATTCATATTTCAATTTAAACTTTGGTTTTAATAAATTCAAAGTACATTTGTTTTACCGGGGGACAACTACAATGCTTAAACCTAGTGTTTATTTGGATACATTTTTTTGGAAAGAATGCTATATTTAGTCAAGTTTCTCTGAAATCATTTTAAAAATAAATTGAAATGAATATTAAAATTAACTTATATACAAGTTAAAAAGAAATATTTAGAAGAGTTATATAAGATAATTTCTACAAATTCTATTCTAAAAATATTTATAGTAAAGTTGATCTAAAAATATCATTAGGGGGGAAAGAGGCAAGTCATCCTGGGAAAATATTCCCGTTCATTATTTAGATTTTAGTTCAAATAAGGTTATTATATCCCAGCGATATGCAATTAGTATGCTCATGATCATAAAGCAGTAAGATTCTTGAAAAATTAATGTTCATGTTCATGTTCATGGTGTAATCATACGATAAATTATAAGTTTATTTGTGTTATTCTAGCAATAACATTCTTGAAAAAAATAGAGTAAGTGAATATGGATGACTTTGATCTTCATGTATATTTATGATTTATGGGATACATTTGAAACAATGAAATTATAAGCAGTTTAGGCTGAACACCAGAAATATTTATGAACTGGATGCTCCTGAAGAAGTTAGCCTAACCTTTTACACAAATTACGGAGGGCCCCTATTAAGATCGATGCCACAACCATATGCCTGGATAACATTCTCCTCCTCTGCTCTTGTATCCACCATAGAATCCTCAATGCCATTATCACAAGTAGCACTAACAATTGTCCCACTACTTAAACGCACACATTTGGATTTTGGATTATTTTCTGAACATTCTGTGTTCTTTCTTTTCCTCTTTGAGTTGATAAATCTGTACTCAAGAGCTTCCAATGCTTTTGTGGTCAATGGCCGGTTCCTTGTGCTCTGACGTCGGTTGACAAGGATGGACTGCTGCTCGTTGTTGCCATCAGGAAACTCTTGTGTCACATTGAACTGGGTTATCTCAGATGGAGAATATGATGTATTTCCACATTGATTATCATGTTGCAGTATGGCCCCAGAGGATGGTATTTCCATTCCAAGCCCTAAATCAGGTGCAACTTGAGGATAATTTAAGTCAATCAACATCCTGGTTTCAGAACTTTCTGCAGAAACTTCTCTAACCGGGTTGTTCTCAGTGACACTGCCTTCATGGCTCATGTTCAAACTGTCTTTAGACAGATAATTTGGTGAAGACAAATTTTCTAAACCCACAGAAAAAACCATGCTCTCAGATGCTTCATGCAGATTTGATGGTAAGATTGGCTCATTTAAATCAAAATTTCTTTCCACAGAAGTACTTTCAGGGCAGTGGCTGAATTCTCCATGGTTACAAGCTCTTAACTTCTGCATTGTCGCCATGCAGGGAATTGCACAATCGGATGTCATCTTTTGAATATAGGGATGCTCATTGATCTCCCTTGAATGCTCATCAATATGCAAATCAGAATGAAATCTATGATATTTTCCTTCTTTGGTCGTGTTGAGGGCCTCGGGAATATGAGTACAATCTGATGAGTTTATGCACAACCGCTTAGCAGAGAATTCTTCAAAAGGGTTTGAGGAGTTAGCTTGTTCAACCTGAACTTCAATAGGATACAAAGAATTAGCTTGTTCACATTGATCTTCAACAGGGCTTGAAGCATGAGCTTGTTCAACCCGATCTTCCATAGGGCGTGAAACATGAGCTTGTTCAACCCATTCATCAATAGAACTTGACACATGAGCTTGTTCAACCCGATTTTCAATAGCATTTGAAGCATTATCTTGTTCAACCTGATCTTTGATAGGACTCAAAGCATTATCTTTTTGAACCCGATCTTCTGATTCTTCAGTTGTATCTTGCTCAGATTCACTAGAGCAGCTTGAGATGGTAGATATATTTGTGGTTTGAAACGGCAAGCTTCTCATCTGTCTCACTTTACGTTGATTCATATCATGAACCATGCTGGTATCTACAATTGTAAATTTCGTGAGATCTTGATTGCTCTTTGAACTATGAGATTGAAGGTACTGAACTTGTTGCCCGCATGACACCCCCTCTAGGTCTCGTTTGACTGGTGTTTTTTCTCTATCTACACTACACTCAGTCGTTGCTTGACTTTCAGTCTCAAGAAGCCCAGGGTCAGAAGCTACTTTGTTCAATACATCACTTATAGAATCAAAGTAGTGGTTACCTTTTACCAGTTTCCTTCTTGAAAATTTCTTTACATCTGGTACAAGAAAAACCAAAGACTGTTTTGATCCAGAAACAACTTGATCTTTAGGCTGTTCAGAATGCCAACCTTTTGCTAAAAGTCGAGGCCAAACAGCTTCCCAGAAGAGATCACTTGATCGAGCTTTGCTTAACCTAAAATCTCCTGTGAGAAACTTGATTATATCTGAAGATGTAAGAGAAGAGCAAGCCTTGCCAATTGGTATTTCAGGGCGAACAGAGAAGATGTTGGTCTTTGTTGGCTCAACAGCAGTGCCAGTGAGATCTTGCTTCCCTTTTCCAATACCTACTGAGGCTATAAGAAAGCCAATGCCAACTACATCCTTTAAAGAAAATACATATTCTTCAAAAGGCATCTTTCCCTCCCCAAAATTCCTTGAAATCTGCAGTAATATTAACATGAATTCAGGAGAGGTTGTTTTCTGGTTTGAAAATACACGAGTTTATAGAAATACAGCCAGTTTAGCAGCGTATTATGTATAGCCAATGTGAACTATTTAAAGAGAAATGAATATTTAAGGCACTAAAATGCTTGGCAGGCAACGTAGACTATGCAAATACTAAGACAGAATAAATTATCAACACATGTAACCTCAAAATGTGAAGGAAGAAACACATGTTGTAATTCACTGTAGTGAATTTTCTCCTAACTGAGACTATTGGACTTATCTCAACAACAGATGTAATGGGAAAACTTCACACTATTTTTAACTTCAAAGAAGAACCATTCAAGGACATGTAAGCAAATCCTGCATCGAACTCATCGCTAGACAGTTAATTTTTTCCTATGTAAGGGATCTTGCACTTCTGCTAATTATGAGATACACGAGTCTTGAAAAATAAAGTAGATAGTTCTTAAATAACTATCACTGAGCACTTATTCGTAAAGGACTTAGTTTAATGGGATAAGTGTACCAGACAGGAAATATGCTTGAGCACTTAGATATTGTTATAAGATCAACCACATATTTTCCATGGCCCCATGGGAATGGAAGCATTGTTACTTAAGGTCCATCTCTTAAAAGCCACAGAATGACCATGACAACTTCTAACTTGAGACTTATATGTTGCTAAGTCAACCTTACAAACAAGGTCAAATTATTCAATGCAGAGAGGTTCAAGAAAGGAAAATTTTTCAAATGAAAGAGAATGGGAAAGGCCTGATTATCAGGCAATTATCCATATACCATCACCTAATTTAGCATCATGACATCCATTTTCTGGTGTCAAGTTTTCCTCTAATTTCTTGTTCCACAAGTTCCATACCTATTCATGAAGAGCTTTCATGACAATTGTACGACCCAATGACTGCTGAGATTTCTTTTGTATACCATTGGTGATTTTACATCAAGCATCAAGATAATTCACATATAGACAGAAATACTTCATGAAGGAATGCTACTTATATTAAATCAATTTCGTTAGTTGCAAGTTCACTTAATACCAAATTATTTCACGAGATTTGCAGAATGTCCAGCACAATTTTCCAGAAGCTAGCATGAAAATTTAACTTCCAACCAAAATCATTATCTAACTAAAGCACCTTTAGAAAAATATATAAAAGTCAGCATCAATGCCAAAAGGATTTATTTTAATAACTACCTATTATCAATATAATGTGAACACAGCCTGCAATGTCAATGTCAATAGGTCTCTATCATGTTTAATTCCTTAAAGAGCATTATTTGACTAGGATCATATTTATATGGTAACTCCCTTTCACCCAAATTATCTACGACAGTGATTAGCATACACCGAAATATGTCAAAGACTTACCTCAAGCAATGCAGTGTGACACTCCCTTGGCAAGTGGGAAAATAATCTTGACAGCAATTCTTGTTGCCTCCATCCTGTGAATATTTTCCGGCCATATATACAACGCTTAGTTCTCAACTTTCGGCACTCTGCCCATCTACAGTAGTCTTTAGACTTATAAAACTTTCCATAATACAACGACAATATGTCTCCCATGCTTTTACTCCCCACAAATCTCTTCAGAAAATTAAGCTTCTTCCCAAAGACATAGAGGCCAAGAAGAAAACTGTTGTATTCAATATCTGTCCAAGATTGATCCTCCAACAATCCAGGGAGAAGATACTTCTCGCGTGTCTGATCCTTCTCATGACTTTTAGAAGATGGTTTAAAATTTGAGAACCCTCCTACATTTGTCCTTTCACCATGTGAAGCAGCGTAAAGTTCCACTTTAGTTTCTGAACATTCATTCTCAGAAATAGCTGGCCCCACTTCATTTCTGACATATCCTAAAGTTCCACAACCACGACTGCCATCAAATTCGCAATGTGCCCACTTTAGAGGAATGGGAAGCCCTAGTGAAATACTTTCTTGAACGTTGACCGTGATTTCTGAATCTCTTATCTTCTTTACAAGCTGAGAACGACAAGAAACTGAAATCAATGGAGGAATTTCTGCTTGGTACTCTTCTCCAACTCGAGGCTGCACTTCTGGATCTCCAAATCCTTCAGCATATTTACCTTCACTGTCTTCTTTGTAGGCATCCAAGCAACAAGAATCCATCTGCAAATATCCGATTGTAAGTTGAATAAATAACAACCATATAATACCCTTTCTCTACTGCATAAATAGCAAATTCTCGCTCCTCCTAGTATCAAGACAGAGAAGTCAAATCATTCACACACTAATCGAGGCAATACCATATGTTAAACCTTCGTACCTTCAATCACAAAATCAAAATTAAAAACCCCATTACAAAAAAAAAAGAATAGCAATAACTTTCTTTTGAATCAGATAAGAAATTTCATTCCTTTATTTTCGTATAAATTTACTGCTGCCTCGCTAGAATGAAACAGCAATCTTAAAATAAAAAAGTGATGTGAGAATCAGTTCAAAGAAAACCACTCAAATACTCCGAAAATCCAAAAAAGCACAACGGGCACTAGACATATCCACATCCAATTCCAAAACCCAGATCAGCTTAAGACCTGATTGACTAGTGATTAAACAGTAGAGAAGTAGAGAATTAAGAATCTGCAAAATTGAAGAAAACCAAATACCAAGTATATAACTTTTGCCGTTTTTCTTTTTCCTTTAAAGGAAAAAACAAAAAACAAAAAACGACCTTGACAATACACGAAGCAAACAATCACAGCAAAGTAAAAATGATTGAAGCAATCACAATGGGATTGTTGTCATAACTCAACACAGACCCATCAAAATATAAAGAAAAACAAATAACGGAATAGAATCTAAGAGACCCATAGAAAATCAACAAAACAGGCAGGAAAAACATGAAGAAAGATAAATGCTCAACATGCAAAGTAATGATTGGAAATAAACGAGGTAATGTAACCTTGAGGAAACAGGCTTGAAGGTTGATTCCCCACGTGTGAAAATCGACCTGGGGAAATGGGTCTCGGAATAAACCTCGATTTTCAACGTGTTTCTTGTTTCCTTGGTACTTTGATAAGAACTGAAAATAATAATAACACAGTAACAGGAAGAGATTATTAAGGAGAGAATTATACACAGTAGAAACATGGTAAGAAGAATCGTAGTAGAATCACATCACTCACATAGCTCTACTTTCATGACAGCAAACTTGCGTTCCGTAAAGAGAGAGAGAGAGAGAGGAAGAAGAATAAAGAATGGAAATTTTCCGAGGTTAAAATATGAAATCAATAAAAGTTTCTTAATTTATAGTTGTTATCAGATCCTACCTTAATATTTTGTTCAAAATAATATTGTTTTCAGTGTTAACTCACTCAAATTATACCAATCAGATGGGTGGCAATAAAGTTAATACATGATTGAAAATTTTAAATATATTTACAGAAATTTGACTTCTTTATTTTCTGATAATATATGGAAAAACAATCTCGCAGTATTCAATTATGATTACTTTATTTAAAAAACAAAAACTATAATAGGGTTATTACTCGTCATATTTTTTTAGTCATTATATTTTAAATGTTTTCACCTTCTTATTACGATTCATAAGCTTTTTATTTATGGTACATAAAATTCTCATATTATTTATGGTCATGGATTATAATAAATTTGCTACCCTTATAATATCTACTTTAAAAATCATGTTTTAGTTTTGATTCTATAAACTTTTTTACTGTAAATACATGGATATTAAATATTTCCTCTAATGTTTAGTTTTTTTTTTCACTATAAAGTAGTGATAAAGTAGACGTATATTTTATTTCGATAATGTAATATTTGAAAAAAATATCTCAATCAACATTTAAGCAGTGATTTGTTCTGTGTCTTATATATATATATATATATATATATATATATATATATATATATATATATATATATATATATAAGAATCAATGTCAAAATATTATGGTAAAGTTAAATTATTTTAAATACTAGCCATTGTGATAAATTAAATTTATTTAATATGTGACAATGTATCATGATTGCTGATTGATTAAAATTCGAAATTAAGACTTTTTTTTTAACTTACGAAACATTTTATTTTATCATTTTTGACACTTTATCATTAAGTTGGATACATCAGATTTCGTGTATACGTGTTTTGATGTCATGGGATCCAGAATAGGTGCATGTGTGAAAAGATAAATCAACAAAAGAAATAATTTGGTAAAAAAAAAATCAAAATTTTTATTTTATTTTAAAGAGTGGAGACTGATAAAAACAAAAATGTGGGATTCAAGTACAAACGTTTTTTTTTTTATTTGAACAAAACAAAACAATAAGAGAACAAAAAATAATAACTTAAATGATTAAAATATTTTATTTATCATAGACTAATATTCTAATTCAATTTAATCAAAAATATATATTTTATTTTCTTCAAGGCTTTTTTTTCTATTCTTGTAACAAGGGAATATAATTAGATTTAGGAGAGTTAGAAAGAGGATATATCATGAAAAAAATATGGAAAATAAACGATAAAATACAAATGTATTAAAAAAATAAAAGAAAAAAATATGGAATATTATTTATATGATTTTAAAAATAGTTAATGTATCGTAGGCGAAACCAGATTTTCATATAATATATAAATGTAAATATATATATATATATATATATATATATATATATATATATTCATAAACTAAATGCATTTTTTATAAAAATCAAGAAGATCTAACAATTTGACGTTTTAAAAAGTTTCCTAAGAATTTGTAATAAACACAGTTCTGTATAGGTTAATAGCAAATTGTTAGAAAAATATCATACTAATATTGTTCTAAATTTAATAAATTTTAATAATTTTTTTATTCATTAATAATTGTTAGAAAAATATTATACTAATATTGTCCACAATCATATAGAAAATATATGTTTTAAAATTGTATTATGGATTGAAAACGAATTTGAATAAATTTTTAGACATATTTAAAGAGAGAAATCCATTGAAGTTTATTATTGCATTAAAAGTCGGCACTACATTAGACATACAAAAAAATCAATATATCATTTTGATAATAAAAAAATGATAAATATGAAAAAAAAGTCACGAAAAAACAGTTTCTAATATTAAAATTTTCAAGAAACTGACGATGTCATACATACTTATTCCAATATTCAAATAGTTTTAAGTACTATAAATAGAGAAGAAATGATAGTTGGAAAATGCTCTTATTAACATTAAATATCTAATTTTATGTTTTAAACAGTAGATAATGATATGTTTAAATCTTCACATTAAGTAAGAAATACAATAATTAAAAAACCTCATCATCCCAAAAAGAAAACCTAAAAAAAAAAAAAAAGAAGAGAGTACAAACATAAGATATAATAATTATTAGTGTATCCTAATATTGTTGAAAATTTAACTTAGGTTATATTCAATGTAGTATTGGTTTAAAGTTAGTTGTTTACTAGATTTTACTAAAAAAAATGGCGTGACATAGTTTATGTAAGTAACTATAATAATATGTAACTATTCAACTTATAAATGTATATTATATTTGTAAAAGCAATTTTTCTTATTTCTAACTCACTTTTTTTTCAAATATATATATATATATATATATATATAATTTCTTTATCATATTTATTTTTATGAAATAAAAAAAAAAAAAAACAGAATCAAATATACGGTCTCTCACACACTAATATCATTCCCTCGTATATTACTTATAGTGAAGTTCTATTGGATTATGTCTGCCACTGGTTGTCATAGTACTTGCACGTGCGTAACCACGTACTTCTGTACTTGATTTCTTGTTTTTATATTTTGTAAACATTAAAGTAGAATTTGTCTTAAAATTTTAATAAAAGATTAGTTAAAAAAAAAGGTAAAATTTTGGGATAAATTTTCTTATTATGATGATATATTTTTGTTTGAACATACCAAAGTTATTATAGAAAGGAGAAAAAAAAAAAAAAATATATATATATATATATATATATATATATCTTCTTCTTATCCCTCCTCTTTTTAACCTCCTCAACCCTTCTCTTGCGCCCTAAACCCAAAATGTCACATTTCGTACATGGTACTCTCCTTTGTTCACATTTAAACAATCTACTTGTTTTCTAACTCCATTGTAATTAAACGTTGCCTCCGTTTTGTTTTAACTTTATTTTTATCACTAAATACAACAACAAATATTTTCTTATGTACACAAGTGTTATGTATTATGCATATTTGCTGTAAATCTTGTGTTATACATGCCTCGTTTTGTCTACTCACTTGATGTTTTCTGTTGTGTTTTCTTCATAATTAGTGACAGACAGTTTCAGTGCTTGCAAAAATTGTATCATGGACCCAAGTTGTCTGAATGAAGATGTAAAATGAATAATTCAATGTTAAGTGTGGAACATTTTGTCGATACTTTTGATTAAATTAATGTTGTTAATTCGAGAAATGATTATTAATTTAACATGTCATGCATATTACTGAAATGACAAAAATATGAAGACTAGTCAAGACACTCTCTAAAGTAAAGACAAATTTAACATCACTGCTATGATATATTTTGTGGACGTATGTATAACATAAGATTGAAACGAGGCACAAAATGTGGAAATTGTCAAAATGACATTTATTTTTGCAACAAACATATTTTCATATTAAAATACTTTTTAAGAATAAACAAAAGTTGCACAAATTCTTTCAATTCAAAGCCTTTCATATTACCTTGTACCTTATAGTGAGGCATAAAAATAAAATAGAAACTCATACTGTATCATAAATTTTAATGGGGCTGCTATCCGATTTAAAGTTTCATTTGATGATTTATATATATGCATTATAAAAATTAAACTCTGAATATTACCGTAAAACAGCACTATCAATTTCATAACTTAAAAGAAATGCTGCAGGGATAACAAAAGAAATTGTTTATTTGAAGGGGGCTTATCTTTGCCCATTGTCATTTGCACATCATTAGTACGATCCAATGCATCATTGAACCATTAAATTTACAATATTTGCACCATGCTCGAGAAAAATCTGGTGCATATATAGCAGAAAAAGATATTTTCACAAAATTGGCCACCACATAATCAAGACCGATCATGTACGACCCAACCAAAACGCAAAATAATTCGTTTTTTTGTCATCAACTTCGTTCAGTTCTTTGAACCCTACAAAAAATTTGGTTTTCTACCAATTCTTTAGCAGAAGGCCGCTTAACTGGATCAGGGTCCATCATGACCTGAATCACCAAAACAAGCGTGTTAAAATTACACTTTCAAAATTTAAACAACGTTATTTACGACAAGACAACTTGGAACGTAATACCAAAAGAACAAGCAATACATGAACATTGGATACTAATAATAGTAGCAGCGATTTTTACAAGCATCTCCAGATACTCATCGATGCATACATAGAATTATATATTATCATAAAAATCTTACCAAGCATATGAACAATTTTTCATATTTAAATGACGTAATGGTTGGGCAACTTAACAATAAATACTAAATTTTAGTAAAGCACAGTTAGCCTTCACCACAGAAGTATTAGTCGTAAAACAAACGTACGATAATGGAATTATAATTCCTTTATATATGTGAATGAATAGCTTCTTCACCAAAGTAAACCACAAACTACACTTCCCATCACTCTTGCAAAAAATCCAACATGTTATAAGATAACAAAAAAATTGGGAAGAGCTAGTCATTGACATTTTAACTACCATTAACCCAAAACAATGTATATTTGGTACCTTGAGCAAGTTTTGAAGTTGCAACGAATGACCAGGCAAGAGGGGAAACTTGCCCTCTTTGAGATTAAAAAATTGACATCCTGATTCTGGCAAACGCACTTTGCGAATTAGTTCATAAATAGAAGCTCCCAAGGAAAAGATATCAACCTTGTCAAGGTGATCATAATTTTCATTAAGTATTTCCTGCGGCATATAGCGTGCGTCACCCTCCTCAATTGGCAGGCTACTATCAAGAAGAGTCGCACATCCAAAATCACCAAGCTTATAAACACCATTTTTCACATAAATATTGTCGGGTTTGACATCTAGATGAGCCATTCCCTTCTCGTGAATAAATCGCAGTGCACTGGCAACCTGACAGTGTAACAACAAATCAAATTAAATGTGAATAAGTACAATGGATTTGCAAAAACTTGTGTACGACTCTGCAAAATAAACATCGAAGAGAGAAGGTACAGTGGACTTTCATCATATTAAAAAGAAGGTAGGTAATGTGAGACATCAGGCTGTTATAACTCGTTGATGCTGTGTAACGAAGGGTAACAGCAAGGCCTATTAAAAAATGGTCATGAAGGAAGTTCACCTGAAATAAGGCATCTAACACTTGTGCTTCTGTAATTACCGCAGAGCATTTTCTTATGGATAAGCTGTGATCACATAGCTCCATCTGAATGTACAACTGTTCATTTTCAAACCATGAAGAATAGTAGGCCACAACGTTCTGATGCAAACCTGAAGGGCCAAAAAGATTAATAAAATAAGGGAACACAAACTGGATAAATCCATTATGCAGAATACAACAAGAGGTGAAAATATGAAGTATGAACCTAGGGCCGCCAAAGCTTGAACTTCCATCAAAGCTTTTGTCCTGCAAGGTCGAAAGATTACCTAAGTGACTGGACCTATAAAAAAATAAGAACATTCATAAGTTCGAAGATGGTACCTTTCTGCTTCCAGGCATAACGGTCTGATGCTTTGTTTAACAGCATACAAGCAGCCATCTATTCGTTTTAATACTTTGAAAACATTACTAAAGTTTCCTCTACCAATTTGCTGACAGGAAAGGAGAAATTACACATCAATTATTGATCCAGACAGGTTGAATTTAGACAAGCATTCAAACAATCCATAGAAGTTAAAATCTCATTTTGAAACATGATACCTCAATTTCATGAAAGTCAGCGCGATAGCGTGAAAGCCCATCACCACCACTACATGCAGGGAAGAGACCTGCAATTTCCCCATTGTGTAGTTAGAAATTTGCAATAATTGTGAAGAAAATACCAACAGTTACATAACATAGGGCAGGTTGCAAAAACTTGTCCACAATTATTGAAAATAACTAGTGAGGGAACCAACTAAAATAGCACCTGCAAATTTCAATCTTTGGTTTCCAAAAGGATCTATCTCCTTCTCTGAGACATCTTTTAAATATGGGTTCCTAAAGCAAGGAGGAGGCATAACCCGGCAACGCAATGCAACTGCAGATTGGGACACGTAATTCTGACCCTTTGGTTTAGTAGATGCTATTGTTTTCTCAGAAGCAAATTCGTCTGTAACAGAATCCTTTCCCAGTTCCACAGCTGGCTGATGGTCACTAGAGAAGGTAGGACTGAGAGGTTGAACGGACATAGCGTCTAAGAGGAGTATACATTCATTAGAAACTATGAAAAAAAGAAGAAACAAAAAGTGTATTGCACAAATTGTTTTTGCGTGCGATATGAAACCTATGCAGCGCACTTGAAATGCAAGTTATTATTGTTAAGACTAGTAAATATCAATGATCACACTCATGAAGTAACAAAGTACATGGATTTTTAAACACATAGACTCTTAGTAACAAATATGAACGCCGAAAACATAAATCAAACAGATACGAATTGTTTCAAATTAAGAAACGATCTCGAGTTGAAGAAAAGTTATTTCAGATTAATAAACTGTCACAAAGCATAATAAGATGTGACTATTCTTACCTAGTCGGCATCTCTTGCTTTTCGTAGTGTTAAGCTTCTCGGGGGATTTGGGGCAAGGAGTATTATCCTGCGAAACAAAACCCTAAAAAGGCTAAAATTTCTTCACAATGCAACCACAAAAACTCACGACATTATCAATATTAAATACGATACCCTGTCGCAATCAAAGCCATTCAAGATATGCTGATTATCCGGAGTGATATAATCAGGAGTGCTGCCAGAACAACGTAGAACAACGTTAGGGAAGGAGAAAACGAAATGACGAACTTCGACAGGATAACAAGACGAGTACCAGAAGAAGTCCTGACTGAGAATACAGTCTCTGTCGTCGGCGACAGCGACGGCATCGTCGGTGAGCGCAACGCGCGATGAAGAAGCGTTGGAAGGTTCGGCATCGAGAAGGTTCTGGAAGCAAGAAACAGTGGAAGAAGTGGTGGAAGATGGTTGGTGGAGAGGAATGAGGGAGACTTGACCTAGCTGAAGCTGCAAGTGCCTGGTGGTGGTGTTACACAACGCGCCCTTCATCTTCCTACTCTGCTTCTTTCCAATCTTGTGGCTTTTCCCCTTCATCTTCATCTTCACCATCCGCGATCACGATGAATCTCAGTGTCGAGCTTAGTGCAGCGTTTTAAAAAATAATAACAATCCAATTTATGGAAAGAAAATAAGTTAAAAATAAGCTAGTGGAGTACGAAGAGGCAGAAAAATTCAAAATCGCGCGGGTTTTTTCAATTTTAACGGTGTGGGGAAGTCTACTGTGGGGAGTTTTGTTAAGTGGATCTTGGCTGTTGATAGTTGAAAAGTCGTTTGATGAACGGTGAGATTTGGATTTTGATTAGGGAACTGGTTTAGACGGCCCGTATGGTGTTGGCGTGCGGCGTAAGCTGATTCAGGTTTTATTAATTTTTTCTTAATGTCATAAAATAATATCGATATTATTAATACATCTTGAGATGAATTAAACAAATATATAATTGAAAAAAAAGAAATAAGTATCATTTTGGACATTGTTTATTTAATATTTTATATTTGAAAAAAAAAGTGTAATTAAGTATTGCCTCTTTTATATATATATATATATATATATATATATTATATAAATAATATTGATTGAAATTGAAGTGGAATGAGAGAGAATGAAATGTGATGATTGGTGCGAGAAAACGGTACTTTTGGGAATAGGAAAGAACTTGCCGTACTAATGATTAATAATTAATTTATTGAGCCAAATAAAGAAAAAATAAAAAAGTATCACCCATCAAAATGAAAATAAAAGTAACAATAATTACAAATTATTTTTAATTATTTTGCAAAATGCATTGTAAGAGAATTGTTTTTATATTAATCTAAAATTATATATATTCTTATTTCATTGTTTTTTAAGACAAAAATAGATTATACAGTAATAACTTAAAATAATTATCCAAGATGGAAAAAGCGTTATTAGAATACGATATTTTACTTAACATATATATATATACTCGAATTACCAATTTAAACGTATAATATATAATTAAAAGTGTATATATAATATATATATATATATTATATTATATATATATATATATATTTTAAAAAATATATCCAATAAACTTTTTAACAAGAATAAATTTTACATTAGTATCATATAATTCAAGAGTTAAATTTAAAAATAATTTATATATATATATATATATATATATATTAACCTATTTTTTATCAAAACGATTTTTAAAATAAAGTCTTGATGAATAAAAATTTGAAAACGGACAAAATCTTAATATTATGCTTATAGATAATAAAATGAGATTATTATGGACCTATATAATAGTGATGTGTTATATAGATGACTATTTTCAGTGAATATTTATTTCTTAACGGAAAAAAATTATTAACATACATAATATAATTGTTATATATATTTTATGATGATTAAAAAATAAAAATTACACATTACTTATTTAAAATATATAGATCAAACCTTTCATGATGGAACACGAAGGATCTGTACTTTTGATATCCATATTGTTTGTCGACTCGTGCCCCATTTACTCATATATATTAATCAAGTTTGAACGTTTATAATCTTTTTATCATCATGAAAATCCAAAAGTCACAGGGTATCACCATACTCTTTGCACCAAATATATTTTGATTAATTCACTATAAACTTTGAATAAATACTATATTGATAAAAATGTAAAATCCTACCTAGCTATTGATTGAATAACTCAAGTCTATATACAAAAAATCAATTAATAAAGATAGTTAACATTTCTAAAACGACATGTTTATAAATAAATTTTTAACTCATTTTAGTAATATTTTAAAAAATTATATATCAATAAAGATAGTTATTTATCATAGTATGTTAGCTGTTCAATTGAATTAATTATTAAATATATAATTATTTAGTTTAGTACAATATTTTGTTATTGAAAATACTAACATCTTGTCGTTGTAGTATAGTGGTGAGTATTCCCGCCTGTCACGCGGGTGACCCGGGTTCGATCCCCGGCAGCGGCGAGTTTTTTTAATTTGTTTCTTTTCGCCTGTTAGATAACTGGTGACCCGACCCAGGTTTAGAACAACGGGTTCCAAAATAGTTGGTGACCCGACCCTTTTCGTGTCTCACTTTAATTTTTTTTTGTTTTTTTCTGGCGTGATTTTCGTAATTAACGTACAAGATTAAACCAAACGATTATGAATTATCTGAGTAATTGCAATTTAAGTAAGTGATACTGACGAGAGTGAGTGATGAGTGGCATGATAATTTTGCGTGCTTAGGGGGAGAAGGAAGCTGAGAACTTGATTTTGAACAAAACAATCACTCTGTTCTCTCATTCTTCAATGGCTACGCTTTCTGCGTGCCCTTCGCCTCCATGGCCAGACCCTAATCCCTCCACCTCCCCCAACTCTAATCCAAACCCTAATTTCCTTCCAGATAGCTCCCAAACCCTCGACTTCGAATCCCTCATGCCTCCGCAAAACCAATCGCCTCCGCCACATCTCTCCCCCGCTGCATCGCCGCCAGGATCTTCGCCGGCGACGCCGCCGTCGGTGCTTCGTCTCGCTTTCAACCAGGACCAGGCCTGCTTCTCCGCCGCCACTGACAACGGCTTCCGCATCTACAATTGCAACCCCTTCAGCGAGCAATTCCGCCGCGAGTTCGACGGCGGTGGAATCGGCCACGTTGAGATGCTCTTCCGCTGCAACATCATAGCCCTCGTGGGTGGTGGGCCCCATCCCCAGTACCCGCCCAACAAGGTCATGATCTGGGACGACCACGAGGGCTGCTGCATCGGTGACCTATCCCCCCGCGCCGTCGTCCGCGGCGTCCGGCTCCGCCGAGACCGGATAATCGTCGCCGTCGAGAAGAAGATTTTGGTCTACAATTTCCAGGACCTCAGTCTCTTGCATCAGATTGAGACCTTTCCCAACCCTAAGGGTCTCTGCGCCGTTTCGCAATTGTCGGATTCGCTCGTTCTCGCATGTCCTGGGTTGCAGAGGGGTCAGATTCGCGTGGAACACTTCGCGCAGAAGAAGACAAAGTTCATATCTGCTCACGATTCTAGAATCGCTTCTATCGCTCTCACGCTTGAAGGTCAGTTAATTGCCACCGCCAGCACGAAGGGCACGCTGATTCGAATTTTCGACACTGTTCAGGGCACGCTTCTTCAGGAAGTATGTGGTGTTTCTCAATTGTATTTGTTTTAATTACACATTTTGTATTATCCGGTAAAAGGAATTTCTCATTTGTACAATCTTTATGATTAACCTCTTCACTTAATGAACTAGTCGTATTGTGGTCCCCACAACGAGTAATTTCGAATGATTGTGCTGGAATGGAGCCAAGTGAGTGATTAAATAAATTTAAATCAGGGTATTTTAATGTTGGTGTTTGGTTTGGAAAGTGTACTGTGTGTGGTTTATAACATTTTTGCATGGGTTGGTGAAGGTATAAGGAGGGTTGGGTAGTAATTTTCTACACTACTTTATTTTCTCTGATTTCATGCTTTAGTTTTCTGTGTGTTAATTTCAAATTCTCTGGTTAGGTGAGAAGGGGTGCGAATGCTGCTGAGATCTATAGTTTGGCATTCTCTTCTACTGCTCAGTGGCTAGCAGTCTCAAGCGACAAGGGTACTGTCCATGTATTCAGCCTTAAGGTTAATTCTAGCATCGGCGAGCAAGAAAAGCCACAAAGTTCATCCAATTCAGATGCTGCCATTACCCCATCTAACTCGTCTCGCTCCTTTACTAAATTTAAAGGTGAATTCTTTTACGAGATTATTTGTTTTCATGTTGTATTGTATCCTATATGTTGTAGTTGTGAAATTGTTAATTCCTACTAAAATGATTTTTACCTTTTCATGGGTAATCCTATTTGTCGCGCGGGAGTTGAAGGTTGAATGCTGACATTATTAATTATTGTGTTTTTAAAAAAAAAGAAGGTAGTATTAGTGGATGATAGAGCCTCATGATTGGTGTAAGATTTCAGATTTTGAGGACAATTGGTTGTCTGCTTGCTTTTCTAGTGCTGTGAGTGAAATTGATTTCATTTATGTAATGCTTGGAAATTTAAGTAAAATTTACCGAAAAGGTTTTAGAAATAAACTAATTCAAATGAACATTTGTAATGATGGTAATAGAAAAATAATTATATTTACATGAAACTGGTAGGCACATTAATTTCATATAAATGTTCAATACCTAGTTGGATTCCGTACAAAATTTGTTTTCAAAACCTATTCAGACAAGATTTAATTCTTTACATACATCCCAGAAAGCTATACTTGATGGGCTTAGACATTTGCCACACTAAATTTTGTCTGGGTAGCAAATGTGGCATATGAGAATTGGGGAGATTTTTTACGCCTATCGTGAAAGGAATACTTTAAAATGAAACTCATTACTTTGCTTTCTAAGGTAAGGCAATATTCCCCCTGGAGATCCCTTTTCAATGTTAAGTGTCAGAACACTTGAACTATATTTTTGGGGTCAGGGAAGGTTTATTTGAATTACTATGTCAAAAGTACTACCTGTTTGGCGTGTTGTGCCGTGATCTGTTTCATTGGTTTCAGCAGCTGTATTTATAGTTGACCCCCTCTTATTTGTCAAGATTCTTCTCATTTTCTTTATTCTGAATTAGTTTAGACTGGATACTGTCTATGAAGTTATGGGTTTCAGAATTTTTATATAATTATGAATCATTTTGTCAGTATGTTGATCAATTCCATTTCCTCTGTTAATTTTGTGTTACTTGTACTTGCAGGAGTGTTACCCAAGTATTTCAATTCTGAGTGGTCAGTTGCTCAGTTTCGCTTGCAAGAGGGCTCTCATTACACAGTTGCATTTGGTAATGAAAAGAATACAGTCATAATTCTTGGCATGGATGGAAGGTATGATTTTAGAAAATGACAAAACCTGTTTTCTTCAAGCTGTTGTTGATAGCTATTCTGTTTATGTTAGAGACTGCGGATTCTATTGTGCAAGTTAATCATGTTATTCAGTATTTTTCTAGGCTCTGAACTACGGAGTTGATGTTGTGAAGAAATAACCTTGTTTTGAGCTGGAGACTTCTGAGTTACTCGCATCTCATACTTTTAAGATGAACGCTAATGGCGTCCAAATTTAATTTATCTTAATAACAACTGTGAACATATCTGAAAGCACTTGGTCTTTCGCATATAGTTTTGTTCATGCGTTTCATTTATCAATGGCTCTTTTGACAAATATCTTATCGTGTGTATGTGTGTATTCTCTTTTTGTTTGTATGCTTTGTATCTAAAATGCTTTTTTATTGCACCTTTTCATATCCCAAAAGAAGTGGATGCACATGTATGATGTTAATGAATTCAAATCGATTTGGTTTATGCAGCTTCTACAGATGCCAATTTGATCCATTACATGGAGGGGAGATGACTCAGCTGGAGCATCATAACTTCTTAAATCCACAACCAGAAACAGCCTTGTGAGACGCCAAGAGAAGACTGTAGCGTTTGGCGTTTCAGCTTAGCTTAGTTAGGGTTATCCTACAGCGATATTCACCGCGTAACGATGGTAAATAAAATAGATTTATACTGAATTACACTGATCGGGTACTATTATTACTAACTCGGTTTGACCTCGTTGCTTCCAATGCAATATTTGTAATTATATATTTTTCAAAAATTTTAATAATAAATATTCAGTTATGGTAAAACTTGTAATATTTTATTGTATATTAAGATGTTAAAACGGGTCAAATTTCACCTTTTGTCAGTAAAAAACATGGCAAACCAAGTTGATCTGTTTTAAGCGTAGCGTATTATAGGTTTAATTTATTTATTTTTTAAATCAATTTTTTTAATAAGTTTAATAAAAAATTAAATAATTTAATATATATTGCAAGAAATTATAATTTAGAATAATAATAATAAAATTTATATAGAAATATATAAATATTGTTTAAATTTATAAAATTTATATTTTTTATATTAAAAAATTTTAATATCTATATATTTTTATTTAATAAAATTTTACATTATTCAACCTTATATTTTTAGTTTAAGTTAGGATAAAAATAATCAATCTTCTAAATAAGGAGAATGTTTTTTTATAATAAGTGAGTATGAATTTGTTTTTAAATATTATTTTACAAATTTTTATTTATATATATGGTTTTAATGACTGATTTATTACAATAAAAAATAATTTTTTATAAAATAGACCGGATGTAAATTAACTGACGTTTTGGATCGTCTCGGTTTTGCATGATGACGGTTAAATACGGCTTGACAAACTTGCTAAACAAGATCTGATTTATCATCTTTAGTATATACGGGAGATAATTAATATTTATATTTTTATTCGATATGATAAATTGATTGAAATTTTTTATTAATTGATTTAATTAATAATTTATAAAATTAAATAAAAAGAATAAGAAAATAAGAGGAAAAACTGAGTTATTTGATATTTTTCAATATGTTTTTATTGAATCAAAATTGAGAGGAGTTGAGTTAGGCTAGATTTATATTTTTCATATTTTAATATGGGAAATAATTTATATGAATTGTTATCTATGAAGTTGTGTAATTAGTGTGCCTAACTATTTGTTTATCTCACATGCACGAAAGCTGCAGGATTTTATAAATCGTTACTAATTTTTTTCCCGTGTTGAAATGTGGATTACTTAAACTTGGATATATAAAGGAACAATTAGTGTTTGATGGATTATCCCTAGAAATATTTCTTACCATTTATTATCAATTTGTTTCTCCCTTTTTAAATATAATAAATTAAAGAAAAACGGTTGTAACTGTAGGGATTAAATTAATAATTAAAAGTTAAATAAACACTTTTTAGTTAAGATTAAAATATATCTTAGTTTCCCTGTTAATTATATGCTTTTGACAGAAACATGGTCCGTCATACCTTGAATATCACCCACCAGTAAATGTAGTCATATAGTACCAGCATTCTTAATCACCGACAATCACGGCGGGCCTAAACAGAAGTAATAGCTGACATGGGGTTCTCCATGTCTCTTTCTGTACAAATGACAAGTATTCATCTTACGTTGGATAAAAATGATAATAGACAAAACATAGTTACTAATAGCCATGTCTCTTAAAGCATGTGGCAAGAAGTTTGATTTCCAGGTTTGTTTTTTAGAAGTATCTCAAGGTATTGTCCCTGACACCCGACAGGAAGACACCTTAGGTTCAACAAGACAATAGCCAGCTACTATGCCAAAAATTCTTGGTGTTCTACTTCCACAGAACTACACCCCAAGTCCTTAGTGAGTTGTCTATCCTTCATCACCCTTCTCACTTTCTCAACATCCCCCCATCTTCCCATTTCTGCATACAGATTCGACAGATGAACATAATATGCAGTGTTCCCCTTCTCCAATTCGATGAGCTTTCCAGCCGCCAGCAGGCCCAACTCCAAGTCGCCCTGAGCTTTAGAACCAACCAGTAACGATCCCCACATAGCTTTGGTGGGTCCAAAAGGCATACGCTCCATGAACTCAAAAGCCTCATGCAAACGCCCAGAACGCGCCAACACGTCAACCATACAAGCATAGTGTTTAACATTAGCACAAAACCCATACCTCCCATCAACCAACAAAACAAAAATCTCTCTACCCTTGTCCACCAAACCCGAGTGACTGCACGCAGATAGAACGGCCAACAAAGTCACTTCATCGGCTCTTACACCTTCATTCTCCATTCTGTTAAACCACCAAATCGCCTCATGTCCACTCTTTGCCAAAGCTAACCCTTTAATAACCGCATTCCAAGTGAACACATTTTTTTCCTTCATGCTCCTGAACACGTTCAACCCTTCTTCAACTCTTCCACATTTTCCATACATGTCAACCAAAGCCGTCCCCAATATCACATCCAATTCCCAACCCTCCCTTTCTACAACCCCATGTATCCACGCCCCCATTTCAACATTACCTGAGTGAGTGCAAGCATGCAACGCGTTGATCATCGTGACCCTATTAGGCACAAAACCCGCATACTGCATTTGCTCAAACACAACCAAGGCATCATCATAGTTCCCAACGTTGTTGTACCCCGCGATCAACACGCTCCAGGAAACGACGTCTCTCTGAGGCATTTCATCGAACAGGCGTCGACACAACGCCACGTGGCGGCACGAGGCGTAAACGTCGAGGAGGGCATTGTGAACGAAGAGGTCTTGAAGGTGGCCGAGTTTGAGGACATGGGTGTGGACGCAGCGGCCTTGTGTGACGTGGCGGGTGTCGGAGAGGGACTTGAAGAGAGGTGGGAAGGTGAAGTTGTTGGGGAGAACGTTGTTGCGGCGCATATGGGTGTAGATTGAGAGAGGTGTGTGTGGGATTTGGGATTGGGAGAAGACTCTGATGAGGGTATTGAAGATGTAAACGTGGGCTGAAGGTAGGAGGGTGGTGAAGAGAAGAAGAGCGGAGTTGAGAAGGGCGTGTGAATGGCACGCGCCGATGAAGTGCTCGGCGATTCTGGAGTCTGGATAGAGTTTGCGGCGAATGAGTTGCGCTTGAATCTGTCGAACTTGCTTCTCACTGAGGCAAAAATTCTGAAGCACAGTCCTCACCCTCTCCTTCATCACTTACACTCTCAAAACCAATTTCATAGTTAACATTACCAACCAAAGTCAATATATTTCTAAATTTAAAATTAAAGAATTCAAATTTCGTACAAAAAAAAAATAAAAAATCATACATCAAAATTGCAGATAATCAAGAGTTAAATTTTTCAACAAAAAAATTGCGCATCCGGGGAATCGAACCCCGGTCAGTACCGTGGGAGGGTACTATGATACCACTACACCAGATGCGCTTGTTCATTACTTTGCTACAAAGAAATTGATTTCTTAAAAATTTATTATTTAAAATTAAAGTAATTTGTCTCGTGTTGATTTTAGAGTTGAGATTGATCGAGGGAATGAGGATCGTTGGACTCACCGGTGGAATAGCATCCGGGAAAAGCACCGTTTCGAATCTGTTCAAGTCGCATGATGTTCCCGTTGTCGATGCTGACCTCGTTGCTCGCGTAAGTTCCTTTACTCTGTTTTTTAATTTGGGAAAAAAGTACTCTGTGAGTGATTATTTTAATTTGCAGGAGGTGTTAAGGAAAGGGAGTGGTGGATGGAAGAAAGTGGTTGCGGCTTTCGGGGAAGAAATTCTTCTCGAAAATGGAGAAGTGAATAGACCCAGGCTTGGCCAAATTGTTTTCTCCGATCCGGATAAGCGTCAATTCCTCAACCGGTATTTCCAATATTCGTCTTATTTACTTCAATTCGAATGTGTTATCGAATTACTCTTTTGAATTTAGGGTTATTGCATTGTTTTAGATTGTTGGCTCCTTACATATCGCGTGGGATATTTTGGGAGGTTTTGAAGCTATGGGTGAAGGGTTACAAGGTCATTGTTCTTGATGTGCCTTTGTTATTTGAAGCCAAGATGGACAGGTTCACGAAGCCCATTATTGTTGTGTGGGTTGATCCCGAGACTCAGATTCAGCGGCTTTTGGCCAGAGACAAGTCCGGTGAGGAGGATGCTCGGAATAGGGTTAATGCTCAAATGCCATTGGATGTGAAAAGGGGTAAAGCTGATATAGTTATTGATAACACTGGTTCGTTTGATGACTTGAGTCAACAGTTTAAGAATGTTTTTGGTGAGGTCTCAAAGGCATTGACATGGACTGAATTTTGGCGCTCCAGACAGGGAGTGTTCACCATTCTTGCTTCTGTCACCTCAGGTGTTGTTCTGTTGATCAAGGCATTCAACAACCATACCAACATTTTGTAGCTACTTGTGTTCTACACGTTATTGGTTAATGTGTTATTTGTATTCCCTGTAAAATCTTAAACCCATGTGTTATTTTCTGTAATGCTGCTGTTGAAAGCTGATTAAGTTAAATTTGAATATTCGGCTTCAAATTTTTAAATAACAAGGAGAAAACCATAGTGTTATGTACCTTGTGTCTCTTTCTGTTTCTTTGTGTTGTTGTTGGTTGGAAAATGAGTATTATTGGTTGCTCATTCAAGGCTTCTGCATTTTAATTACGTCTCATGTTTGATAAATGCATGCCTCTGAACACTTGGGTTACTCTACAGTGTGTAGAATAGAAATGGAAACTTGTCTATGTTATGCCTATTTATTAAACAGGTTCAGCCTATTTAGAAGGTTTGTGCCTATTTAAAAAGGGTCTGCTTCCATTTGTTGACCTCGAAGGATGAACACTTTTGCTGGCTTCATTATTTAGGCATTGACCTTGTGGGGAAACCATAACTGGTGAATTGCAAAGTTTTTGGAGGGACTATGGTGGTTAGATTTTATGCTCTGATCTGTTTCGACACTAGATAAAACTCAGTCTGGGAAGTCCAAACAAGGTAAATATGAAAGGGGAGTGGATGCTGTTTAACCTCAAATTTTGAAAAATGCCTCTTTCACCTTAAACTTTTTTCTTTAACACACCAAGTTCCTGAGTAAGGTCACTGTTTAAACGGCTAAGATTGTGGCTGAGATGTCAGAAAGTACTTTTTGTTCGATGACTTCTCGCTGACAAGGATCTCATAAACCAAGTTGAGGTTGCTTAGAGCTAGCACCTCTCAGAATTATGCTGTTTCATCTTCAGCCACGGGCCACTGCATTTTTGAGGTCCAAAACATTCCCGAGCAGTAAATTTTTCTTCCTGAAACACTTGATTTGTTTTCTGCAAATCTATCAACTCTGCATGCAGAGCCGCCAATTTGGACTTTGATACATTTTCACTTTCTCCTCCATTGGCCACTTTAGTCCTCAGTTGCCTCTTCTTCTGTAGAAGTTCAACCTTCTCTTTCTGCATTATTGCATTCTTCTCGCTCATGTTCTGAATCTCTTGTTCCATGATCTTTTTCTCTGACTCCATTTTTCTCTCAGATCGATGTTGCTGAAGGAGCTGCTGCTTCTCCTCTTGGCTTTTCACTCAAAAACTTTTCAAGCCCTCAATGTTGTCCAAAATATGCAATATCAGTATTTTCTCTTGCTTGATTCTTTGTCAAGCCCACCATACGGATCAATCTGAAAAGTCCCACACACTTGAAAATTTTAAGCTTTCTAATTTCATGTCAGAACGACTGTTCTCCCATCAGTTGCATAAAGTTTTCAGTTTCCAACTCAGAGCTAACTTTGTTAGAAAATTTAAATGCCTTTATATGCTTTTCTGATTCAGATAACAAGGCCAAATTTATGCTCTGATTGAATTTGACACAAGGTAAAGCTCATTCTGGGAAGTCCAAACAAGGTAAAGATGAGAGGATGAATGGATGGATATTGAAAGTGTGATTAAAGATTATAGAAAATTCACGTCATGACACTTTCATTTTAATTCTTACCGAGTATAATTCTATAAGGTATTTGACTTGAGGTTTTAAACCTTTGATAGTCTACTGAAATATTGTAAAACTTTGTGGCCTGGTAAGTGGAGGTGTTGTACACTTCTTACTGTGACTACTTCATGTTCATAACCTTGATAAGGATGACCACTTCTTTTTCTCATTTGTCGTTAGATTGAAGATCAGATAGCAAATATTGATAATGGTAATCATATTTCACTTTTCCAAAAGCCTGTCAAAACCATTACCTAACATAAAGTGGAAGATAACCTAGTGTCCAATATGATATCATGCTATATGCTGTATTGACATGGATGTTTTTGTTCTTACATTGAATATTACGACTATATTCTTTACCAGAAGACTGCGAAACTCTCATATTCTATTTCTAATGATTAATGGTTTGAAGTGGGTTTCCTACACTCAAGTGATAATCCATTGCTTACTTTTACTAATTTTTGCTTAAGGCACTACTTACTATTTTGTAATTTGTTTTCACTTTTTATCACTAAAATGAGTTCTACTATAAGCATGCATACGCCAGATAGCTTTTGGATTGGGACTTGGGATTCGTCTTTTAATTATTCGTATTTATGAATTATAAGTAAATTGTTTTGCCCTTTCCCATGGAAATATCCTTTTATATTTTCCATTCCTTACCTCTGAAGGAGTAGTGGTTTTGCACCTACACCCTTCACCATTCAACTTTTCCACTGGTTGACTTTGCATTCCATCCAAGGGGCAAGAATTAGGCACCCACCATAATTTTAAGGCATCATATGGTATTGGTTGCTCTGTTCTTGCTCTAGTTTTCTGAGTGGAATTTGCCACGGAGACTGGAGATTTATGTCTAAAGTCTATACAAATTGAGTATATTAAATTAATAAATAATGTAACATTTTACTGTTTAAATTATATTAACTTTCTCTCACTATATTCATTTAGGTTACCACCTAATGAAAATGATGTGACTTTATCGATTTTATCTCACAAGAGTTGATTTACTCAGTGAAGGGAAATGTATTTTCGCTTTAACTTTTTGTTGCAGTCTTGCTGGTATCTGGAGGAAGACGACATATCTGTGTTGCCCTACGGGATTGGTTGTTTGGCTTGAAAATCCGAAAATTCCTCTTGCTGTATTTTGACTATTTGAACGATTCCAAATTAACATTTTGGCAACGTGGTATGTAAGAATGGGACACATTCTAGGTACCTTTAAACTAATTGGATGCGTTATGTATTTTATCTGCTTAAATGCGTGTTTAATCATCTGTTAGAAAAGAATTTAAACAATGTTTGATGTTTGTAATATGTAACCATGGTTAATTATTTGTTGCCTTGCTTGAAATTGTTCTGAACTGGGAGTGGATGGGGGAGGTTGTTGGCTATGATTAGCTGGTTAAATGACTCGATGGCTAGCAATTCACCTGACCTGAGTAGCCGCCGATGATCGAGGTTCCATGTCCAGAAATTTGGGGTTTTGGTTTAGTGCTGTTGCCACAAATGATGATGGTGGAACTCGCCAAAATCACAATTCTTTTGGTCTTTGACAGCAATGTTAGTTTGTGGGGGGGGGGGGGCACTATCCTGTACATAGATTAAAAGTGAGTTAGAAAAAAGAGAGAGGAAGGAACAAAACAGAAAGGATAATAAAAAAATGGAAAATATGTATTCAACCTGAATGCTAAAAAGATAATTCAACTTAAAAGTTTAAATTTTTATTGTAATCCCTCCCATTTAGAGAAAGTTTGATTTTGGTTTGACAAATTTCTATTTGATTTTACCATTGCAATTTATAAAATATTTACTTCAGTCTAAAAACTAAATATTAAGGACTAGTTATATATCAACCTATTTTGATGTTACATTTTGATCATTAAATATTTAATCATATGTTTGTTTTTATTTCACAGTATTTATTTTACAGTAAATAAAAAAATAAATTTTAAATCTAAAGGACACAAACAAACTTAATTTAAATTTCACTAAAATTGTATTTAATCTTAATTTCAATAATTTATTCTTTCTCTATATTATTTTTAACTTAAAATAATTTGATATGTTTTATATTATAAGGAATATTGGCTTAAATATTTATTTTTATAAAGTAAAATAAAATTAAAAATAGAAGTATTTCACCTTAAGACGGAACATTTTACGAACAAAAAATATATTTTTTAAACAAATGGTGATATTTTAATATTTAATTCTATCTTTTTATCTTTATTTCTAGTCGTACACAAATAAACATAAAGTTAATGAAACAAACCAGCAGTGGATTCTTTCTAGTTGCATATTGGCCTTAGGAACCTGGAAGTGTCTTTTGTGTAAGTAATTATTATGCATTGAATTTACGACGCGTATAAGCCAAAGAGTTGGAAGCATTGATAAATGGAGCAAAAAAATCAGAATGGGGTGGGAGAAATTATTGGATGGTGGTGGGTTAATAATATAATCTGGATTTCAAAATTTGGTTCAGATGCTCATCAGTCATCAACCCAACCAGCTAAAGCACTACCAGTCAAGTACCACTCTATGTCTAAAGTTAAACCAAAAATAATGAATTGGCACGTTATAAATAAGATGTACACTTTCGAGATTGGCTTCTTCAGTAGTACATGCTTTTAATCATTGTAAAGTTTAAACCTCTAAAAAAGATTTTCTCTTATGCTAACTTTGGTTATGAAATTGATGAAACTATTAATGTATGAAGTTGTTAAAAATTAAGTTTTGGTTAAGGGTGTGGTTAGCCTATGAACCTTCTAGCATGGAGACAATGCAATATTCTTTTGGGGTCAGAAAATGAACGATGATGAAGCCCTTCAAACCGTCTGATATGACTGATAAGATGTCTAAGAAGTTGATGCAAAGGACCACCTACACAACACTACACCACACCCAAACGTAAAAACCATACAATCCCTTGCTTACTTGCAACTTCTCACAACCTTAATCCCATCATAAAATATTCCACAACATGAAATTTTACCTCCATTGACGCTACTTTTGCCACATGAAAACATGATACCTCTACTGAACAATATCCTCCTTCTGCATCACGTGACTTTGCTGATTTGTCATTATCATAATGGTTATATGTTCAAGGTGACGTGGCTTCCCCACCATATGAAATGAGTGCTCTGATTCCTCCTTTCTTTAATAATAAATGAGTGCTTGATAGTGTTATTCTTTCAACGCTTCTATCATTGAGTAAAGTTTCACATTAGATTAGATTCACTGAATAAACTAGGGCCAGTGTCACTTAATGACATCACTGTGAAATTTAACCCAACAAAAATTATACGTATATGTTAACAAATGTGTGTCAATCACTGCAGTATACCAGAACAGTTATAACTTAAGATTTGTATGTTACTTGTATACAATATATTTACAGCTATGGTAAAAACTAAGAAGAAAAGCTTTGCTCTATTTACTTCAGTTTGAATTAACTAGATGTATAATATAATGTTTAAATACTAGTTACCTTAAAAAAAGGGAAGTGTCAAAATAACGTGATAAGAATGTTTCTGTGTCAAATGCTTTTCTTCAAGGATCATTTATTTATTTAACTCCCCCTTGCTGCATGTTCCTTACTTCCTTTCGCCACCAACAAACACAGAGACACATACACTTCATCAACTTTCCTCATCCCTTGATTTCCACTTCACCGAGGTACCAACCAACCTACCAAATGGCAGCCAAGCCATCTGAAGAAGCTCCTCAAGGAGAAACTCTCAAGTACCAGGTGATTAACTTTTCCTTGCTCTCTCAATTTCATTTTCTCTTCTGAATTGTATATACAGGTATATTGTTTCTTCTGATCAACTTCATTCAAATTACCATATACTCCATTCATTTTACAGACGTGGGTTCTGAAAGTCTTAATCCACTGCGAGGGCTGCAAAAAGAGAGTCAAGAAAATTCTTCAGGGAATTGATGGTATTAGTCTCTTTATTTTATACTTCTTTTGGTACATGGCAATATTTCGTATCCATTTTATTATATAGATATATCTCAACTTCAAACTTTGTAGGTCTTGTGATATTCTTATATAATGATTATCTTAACATGGAAGTAACTGATGATATGTTAGTCCATGTTGGGAAAAAAAAAATACTAATTATATGTTTATCATGGTATAGGGGTTTATACAACAGAGGTTGATTCTCTGCAGCACAAGGTTACGGTCACTGGTAACGTGGACGCTGAGACTCTCATCAAGAGGCTTTCAAGATCTGGGAGGCTAGTGGAACTTTGGCCAGAAAAACCACCTGAGAAGAAAGATAATAAAAAGTCTGGAAAATTGAATAAGGGTGGTGATGTTAACAAAGAGAAGGAAGACCAAAAGAATGGTGAACCAGGTGCTGATGGTGGTTCAAATGAGGGTGCTAAAGATGGTGCTGGTGAAGATTCTGACAAAGAAGAACAAGGTGATGAATGTGAAGAGGGAGGTGGTGGCGGTGAAGGTGGCAAAAAGAAGAGAAAGAAAAAGAAGAAGAGCAACAAAGGGGAAAACGCTGGTTCTGCATCTGCTCCTCCTAAGAGTGGAGAAGGAGGGGGAGAAATTAGTGAAGTTGATGCATTAGTGCCTTCAAATTTAGCCATTTCTATGGCTCCCAAGGATCTTATTAGCCCTCCAATTCAGCATGCCTACCCATATCCACATGTGTATTACTCACCTCCTCCTCCTCCAGCATATGGATTAAGCTATAACACAGCATATCCTATCTCTAGTGCTTCATATTATGTTGGTGCCCCTGTCATGCCCATGCATGCTTACACTACTCCATACTCTAGACTACCACCACCTCCTCCACCGTCTGATCCAATCAAGCACTATGGTGATGAGGATGAGTACGAAGGTGGTGGATATTGCTCCATTATGTGACAAACCACAAAGTAGAGGATGATGTACTTGCTAGCTAGTGTTACTAATTACTAGTGTGATAAAACTTAGGAGAAGTGGGGGTTTAAATTTTGTAATATGCTCAACCAAATTAGAAATTAACTATGGGGACAAAAATAAAAAAGAGGGTATGTGCAGGTATGGAGAGTCTTCAATGCTTTGTCTTTGTTTAGCATGATCTCTCTCTTTCCTTTTTCTTTTCACTTGTTAAGAGTACAGCTTTTGTGGTTTGCAAAAGAAAGGCTAATAGCCTTGTAATGCTCTGCAATTTGTAGGTCCAGAAATCTTCCTTTCCCTCTCTATCATATGTGTAAAGTATCTTTATAAGTACCAGCTTTTCTTTTTCTCTTTTCATGTTTGATTGCTAGCTAGTTACATGCTGGTAAAATGGTGTTGCTAATTCTCATGCATGCAAATCAGCTAGCCAGCCAACTAGTCTTTACAGTTTTCGAAGAGTGAATCATACATGTAAATAAATAATTACTTCCTATGACAAATGCTTGATCCACTTTTGCAAAAGCGATTCTCTAGTTGGTTAAAAATATTTATCTTTCTTGCTTTATCATATTTTGGCCTTTTGGGATCTGTATGGTAGTAGCACCACACTAGTAAGTGATCCAAAGCTTGTTTGTATAATTGTTGCTACAGGTTGTACTTTGCTTCTTTCTGAATCTAAGGAACATGGTCGCCACCCTGATCAATTACAATAAAAGGGCACACTTCATTTTCTGACCTTTGTGTTTCTCTCTTTTTCCTACCTTTGGCTAAAACCCATGTTCCTGCTGCTTCACTTGTGCAGGTTATGCTTTGGTTTGGAGAGAGATCAGAATAGGCATCAATAAAACAAAAACAAAAAAAATCAATATTTTTTAAGCTGTCAATTATTCTTCAATTTGTTAATTTAACCAGTAAGTATCAGGTTAAGAAAAGTGTTACTTTGTTGTCTCAATCATCTATTCATTAATCTCAACTTGCTCTCTGGACCCATTTGAGTTATAGCCTGCACTGTAAGTATATAGAGTTTTCATTGGACAAATTACCATTACATTTGTTGAGCATCAGTGATACTAATGTACCTCTTTTACACGTTTTTCGCTCAATTTTCATATTAACACTATCAATTAAGGAACATTTGTGTTAACTGAAATAATCCAGTTCCTCGTTGAAGTATTTTGTATTTCAATATCATAAATTATTCTGTATGTTTTATTGAGTCATTTAGTCGAATACGTTGGACACTGACACATTTTCTTCTAATCAGATACTTTAGGAAGCCAACAAGATGTGATTCTCAAGATTCAACCTAAGTAATCTAATCAAAAGTAGAATATTCACACGATTATGCCTCTTCTTTCATATTGATAGCATAGTCATGTCATAAAAGTATGTGTGTGTTTATATATCAAATATGCTGTCAAAAAGTTACCATATCTTCAACAATAAGCATTCAAAATAGATGTCACCAGCATGTTAATTATTCACTCATCCCTCTAGTTTGCCACTTTGCAACCCCACAATCCCTTCAACTTTTCTTCTCTTGGCAGAAATTCCAGAAAGCCCCACGAAGGTAATTATATGATTGATTCTAAGACTAATTATTAGGCCAACGAAAGACCAGTTAATTAACATAGTATTATATGAAATTATGCACATTAAACGACAAATGTACGAGAGTTCACTTTGTTAAGGTTTTCGTTTTTTAGAAGGATCTGTTGGGATTATTAATTATTGGAATTTTCAAGAAAGCAGCTTATATCCAAAAGTCCTGGTCTGTAGACTTTAGGTGCAAAGATGAAGGAGTGATATGATTTTTTAGGTCCCTCTCGCCTCACTGTGATTTATCTGGAATCTTGAAAATTCCCATATTTGTAAAATTAGGTTTTGAATACTTTTTCTTTTCTTGATAGTGTATTTCGTTCCATTAATTTTTCCATGTATGATAATGTTGATAAAATTTGTCCCAATAAAAAACTTATGAAAGATATCTATTGAAAAAGGAGTGAGAAACTGTTAATATTAATTTATTAATTGTGTATTATTTAATGAATTTAACTCTGGAATTTATTGAAACCACCTTCATGCTCCTCCAACGACTCCATTAATGGTAGAAAATTAGATTTGTGCTTTCAAGGTCTGAGAAAAGCCCTGTGAATCGTGAAAGATTTTGAAAAATTGAAAACAAAAAAATGACAAAACCATTCATTGAATGTGCAATGCTCAGATAATAACGACTTCATAATTGGCCACTGTTCTTTTTACTTCACCAACAATTGTAGGTTCAACATTCTCAGGTAAAAAAATATATATGAAAAAATATTTTTTTAATAAAATAATAAAAATACTTGAGTGTCTGAAAATAAAATGTGTAGAATTTAATAAAATATAATAATTTTTCTTTTTCTTTCTTTACCTACCCACTTGCAAAATGAAGAAGAAAGCAAAGCAAGTGCCTTAAACGCAATAATGGCCTAAGTTGGTGGTTGTGAAAAAGCCCCAGATGCTGACACTTCAACCAAATCAACACCAACAAGGAAAGTGAAAAAATTTGATTCAAAGATAAACAAACATCTATTAAGAACTTTGTTTATAAAATTTGTCTGGTGTTTTTTCCAAACATTCGTAAAACTTCATTCAATCAAAATTTCATAATCTAATTAACATCAATTATTAATTTCACATTATATAAATTTTAATATTACATAATTAAATATATATATATATATATATATATATATATATATATATATAGTAAAAGAAAACAGGAACTCGCCAATAAAAAAAATGAATACGTGTTATTTTTTAAAACTAATTTATATATAATTATTATGATTATTATTATTATTTTACAGTGTTATTCAAACAAAATCGCACGCACACTCATTTAATTAGTTTTTTTTATGTATTTGATGCATTTTTACAGTATAATATTCTTTAAATTAAAGTCTTAATTTTATGTGGTCTCCTTTATTTTTGTTTCCCAAAATTGTTGGGCTATTGTGTGAAAAGACAGAAAGGGCCAGCGTTGGGATGCCAGCCAAGTTGGGCAGTTGCTATGTATACTCTCCCTTCTTGCTAATGCACTCCCCTTTTATTTTACGTCTCCAAATATATATTTAAAACCACATATCAATCAAAATTTGTCTGGAGTTGGGGTCAAGGGGGGAAAGTTGAATTAGTGAATAAATTAATGATAATCTTAGCAATTTTGTTTTATATTTTTTACTTGAATAGTTTTTTTTCTCCCATTATTATTATTATTATTATTATTTTATTTTCATCTCACTTTTATTTTTAATGTCAATTATGTTTTTCTTTTAGTCTTATATATATGTATACTAAATTTTATATAAAAATACTAATTCTAATTTTATTATATTTTATATGTTTGGTATTCTCAAATTTTGTTGAGACCTCTAAATGATCAAATAAAGATTCTTGATTGATTAACGAAAAGAGGTTGTTTCTACCAAAATGCATTTGAGACCAACTTCAAACAATGTAAAAGAATGTGTCAACTAATCAACAATCACAATAAATCAGCACTTAGTCTATATTACAAATTTAACTCACACAACCATGTGTTTCTGGTGGAATTTCGATCGATTTCGATTCTAAGGGTGTTTTGGTCCTAATCAAAATTCTACCACGTAAGTTCTTTTTACTTAGGTTAGCAATTTGATTTTCAATCGAAAATGCGTATGAGAATCGAAAACTACAGGATATCGAAAATGCTGTTTTTGGTGTTTTGTATTTAAAGTATCGAAAGCATTAAGACTATCGAATCGAAAAGCAGAATATTAAATTGCGAGGAAATGTAAAGTGCGAAAACCCCAAACTTGCATTAATTGTAAATAGCAAGAAATCGAAAACAACGCAAATGTAAATGACAAGAAATCGAGATTGCAAGAAAAGTAAATGACAAGAAATTGAGATTTGCAGAATGTTAAATAACATGGACATCTAAATGCAGAAACTCAAATTTTCATTGAATTGAAATGGACAAGGAATCGAAAATACAGAAACATAAAATTGCTGAATTTAAGTTGCATCAAAATAAATTACCAAGGAAAATACAGAAAGCGGTAAATGTACTCAGTGAGCAAGGAAATCCAGATTGCCAGAAGCTTCATGGTGTTCGTCATTTCTCCGGTAGACTTTTCACTACTGATCCTGTTCTCTGCCAATTTCTGCTCCCCCTTCTCTTCCCCTCCTTTGCTCTATTTATAGGGCATCTTTCAAGCCTTCCAAGAGCAGTTAACACGACTGCTACCACGTTCTACGTGCGTATGACAGTTTATCTTCTATAGTTTCCCACGTTCTCACGATCTCCGACTTTTTCCCATGATTTCAAAACTGCTCTTTATACGTGCCTTCGACTTACTTCCTTTCACGATTTGGCCAAAGTCTCGATGTCCACCTTGACTTTCTTTACTCTCGATTCTGTATTTTTCGAGAACTTCGAATTGCTTACGATTCCTTTTTAACCTTGGTCTTATATGACTTAGTTTTTTATTCGACAACGGTCATTTGATTATTATTCATTCGATTCTCGATTGTGCTTCTCGATGCTATTACATGTTTCTAATTAGGCATCGAATGAATTTTTGTTTATCTTATCGAGTCACATTTCTTTCCCTCGATTTCGATCGTTTTTCTTGATTTGCCACTAACAAAATGCCCCCTTGGAGGAATATAAATGATTTCTGTTTTATATTCTTTCAATATTCCCGCCTTAATGTTTGAAAACCCACAGGATTTAGGGTTTAGGGTTTCTGGGGTTCTAGGGTTAAAAGGGCTTTAGGTTTCTTTTCCACTTTACGTCGCCGTCTCGTCAGTCTGTTGTCTTTCAGTACAAGTTACATTAATTACCTTTCCCTTCCGTCGCTTCCAACTCCCCATACGATTTCCCTTTAACCTTTCCTTGGTCTTTACTCTGGTCTTTACGCGAACTATCACCCTCTTTGCAATCTCATCTTCTCCTT